CATGGTGCACTAAGATTCATAACTGGCTGTAACTATCGTACCCACTACTGCACCCAGTATTCATTGGGTTAACTGGTCCCCATTAACTTCACACAGACTCTCCCACTGGTACATTTTCATCTTTAAATCACTTCCTGGTCTGCTGCCTTCATACATCTCCTCCTACATGTCTCTGTGTGAGTGCAGCTACAGCGTGCGCTCTCAGGACATCATTACCTGCAGTGTTCCCTCAGTGAGGACTGAACTAGACAAAAGGACCTTCTCCTCCGCTCCTGACAGTCTGTGTTGATGCTGTTTGTGCAGAGTGCTTTTGCCCTGTTCACAGGGGGGGGGCACCCTGCTTGTATAATGGTAGGGGAACCACTGGATTCAGTGTTTACGGGGCATTGTGCTCAGCTACCATCTCTCCAAATTTTACTTTAATATCTTTAAAAGTGGCTGATTTATATTTTGTTTCAATGAGAAAAATGGCATCTTCGTTTGCAAATTATGTCGCCATGGTAACTCGAAACACCAGTAAAAGTAACGGCACACATCACGGTGCCAAGCGGATCGTTTTGATATAACATTTGTTGGGGGTGCGCGTTGTGGTTCAGGCTGCATTAAAGTTGATGGAAGAGCCAGACCCTTGTCAGGTGGATAACAACAGGTGGCTGCCTTCAGGCAGTCTCCAATAAATGGCAGCCCGTCCCTACAAAACTATTTACAAACTAGCCGGTAGGATGACGTGGCACAGCAGGTCCGGTGTGGGTGGTTGAGATGCACAAACGAACGAACGACGTCACTTATGCAGCTCATCTTACTGCGGCACCAGTGTCCGCTTCAGGCAGTCGATCCCAGTTCAGCTCATCGGTTTATGGTCCAGTTGCAGCTGGGTATCTGGACACCAACATTACATGCAAGCACACAACACCCCTAATGACCGCAGGTGTAACGGACCCAAATGGCACCGTCATTTCTCATCATGAGGTGATCGGTCTAAAACGTGTCTCTGCAGCGATCTACCAAGTGAAGCTGAACATGATCTTCACAGCAGAGCAGGAGCAGAAGCAGGCGGGACGAGGAGGACTGAGGAGGCCCGGGTCTGTTCCAGGTGAGCTGGAGCTCTTGCAGGAATCCGACGATCACAATTGTTTCTCTGCAAGTCAGTGTTGCCTCTGCACATCGTTGAACTGGATGAAGGGTTTCCTGGCTCTGGACTGCCATGGAAACTGCACTTTGTCTTTAAATCTCTTCTAGTTGTTGGTATATGTGAAGGTGTAAAGTTCTGTTGTCGTCGTGATGCTGATGCTCTTCAGAAGTTTGACTCAGAATTCTGTTTTCTTTTGTTTTTCAGTTTTTTGGACTGGTTGAACCCAGAATCTTTCAACTCTGCAGAAGCTGCAGACGATGCAGTGAGACATCAGACTTCTATTAAAGTTGCTGTTAAAAGTTGTCTAAATGTTGAGAAGGAAGAAAATAACTTATCGAAGCTAAAGCTAAACGGTTTTAGTAAAATATTACCTAGATCAGTGGTTCCCAACCACCGGGGCCGCACAGGGGAAAAAAACACTTTTATTTTGAAAAATCACGGGATTGTCTCCACATCTGTCAATGACACTTGACGCAGGTACACAAGTGTTAAGTTTCTGTTTCTGTTGGACGCATGCGCAGGTTGGTGCTACATCGCCCGTTCGGGTGGAGTAATTCAGCTGCGTGTTCTGGAGCAGACCGGACAGGAGGAGGCGCACGGCCGTGTGCACATTTGAAGGGTCACTGCATATTTTACAACCCGCCTGACAAAGAGCGACTGTAAAACTATGAACTAAATAAAACTAATTTTAAACAAAGCTTCCTAATATCACATCAGAGCTGTTCCTTCGCATTTCTGCTTCTGCTCTTTAAAAAAATCTAAAAAAAGTTCAAAGTCCTGGGAAATCTTATTAAAAAACACATATAATTAGTTTTGCATTATACATAAGTTCCTGCGCTTTTGTGAACAATCGGATGTGAATCATTGTGGAGCAGGGAGGAGGAGGACGAGGCTCGGCTGACCCCGGTGTGGGAAATACTAATGAAATGAGAAATGATCCTGCACTTAATACACTTATAAATCACACAAAGTGATTAAAAGTACATCTGAAATACAGGTGCTGGTCATTAAATTAGAATATTGTGAAAAAGTTGATTTATTTCAGTAATTCCATTCAAAAAGTGAAACTTGTATATTCGTTCGTTACACACAGACTGATGCATTTTAAACGTTTTTCTTTTAATGTTGTTGTTTATAACTGACAATGAAGCAACTGACAAATCAACAAATTCAATTTGTCCTGAAGTGAACGCCCCTCACCTGCAGAGCTGCAGCAGTTTACCTGCAGAGCTGCAGCAGTTTACGAACGCTTTGCAGTCATTTCAATAATGAGTTTACATCTTTTGTTTCATGTTAATCTACTGTAATAAACCTTTGTAAAATGCACCAGAATGCAGGAAATGGCATCTACTTTATCTAAAATTCTCTGGAGTAGGACCCTCAGACCCCTCCCCACCCCCGGTCCGTGAAAATATAGTCTGACATTAAACCGGTCCGTGACTCAATAAAGGTTGGGGACCACTGATCTAAAGTTTGATTAGTCAGTTTCCTTTCACTTCAGATTTATTTGTATTGGTAATAAAAACGATAACGAGGCACTTCAATGTTTGTTCCATCAGTAGGAGTTCAGTAGACAGGGCGCCTGGTTCTGTTGACGGGCGCCTGGTTCTGTTGACCGGGCGCCTGGTTCTGTTGACGGTGCAGGGCGCCCTCCTTGTATAATGGTAGGGGAAACGCTGCAGTGTTTGGTAATTACAGGGTTTTCTAAGCACCGTCATCTTTTAACTTGGGTTTGTAATTAAACTATGTTATCATTTGTTGTGACCGTGTCTTTGGCGTTTGTCTGGCCTCGTTGTGTTTTTCAGATTAGTCCCAGTGACCCTAGGATGAGTGGGATTCTGGTCCACTCAGCCCATCTGGAGGAGCCCTGTAATAACTTGGAAGACGCGCCCATCACAGATGTTCTCCGACAGGTAAACAATATCGTGCTTGGGGTGCTGGAGTCGAGCTGTTGTATGAAGACGAGAACAAAACAAGAAAAGAACAACGCAGCATTTGGTATTAAATGAGTAGTAAAGCACAATAATGGAGGACCACTAAAGTGTTGCTGCTGTACATAGTTGGTCATGAAGATAATGGCCTCAGGCAAAGATTAGGACAAGACTATGGGCTTAAACATATCTCATTGTATTTTAAAATCAAATTCAGCATTTCTTCATGCTCCTAAGGTACAGTCAGTGTTTGAACTGTCCCGTCACTGATTTTGGAGTTGTAAAGTTATAAGTGAGGCACAAACACATTCTGATCATATAAGAAACATTAAAATAATCTAAAGGCCTAGCAGTCTTAATGGAACGTGTATTTCCTGCCCCCTTTCGTACCAGAGTCTAGACTACGATCATCTTATGGTGAGAAGTAATGAAGTTGTTTGGGTCAAACGTTGCGGTTAATGTTGTTCATAATTTCGTGACTTTACCAGGACTATTGGAGAAGGGCTGCCATAACAGTACAGTTCCAAACCGTGTCAATTTTTCTGACAGTCCAACAAACACCTTTGGTGGCGCGTGATAGTCTTATAGTTTTATAATAAAAAAAATTAATGCCACAGGTGTTTTATTGAGTCTTTAGAACTTGTGAAAAGGAAACGTTGTTTTTCCTTTAATCTCAGTTTAAACCTGACTTAATTTCTGGTTTGTCTCCAGGTGTTGCGGAAGAAAAATTACTGCACTTTGTCTCCAGCTGATTGTTACAGCTGGCCAGCTGTGGCTCGTGGATACAACACTGTCATTATCTCCAACAATGCAGCGCAGCCAATTAGCTACCTTGCCCCCCTCCTCTCACACATCCAACTGAACTCTATCTTCACTTCCCCCACCTCTAGTTTAGGGGTGAGTACACAGACTTCTGGTACTTTTTCCAAATGTTTTGTAAAACCAAACCATTCTTGATGTTTCTACATGTAGCCGATAGCAGTGGTGCTGTGTCCAGGCTGGGAGAGGGCTCAGGTGGTTTACGACATGCTGGAGGAGACCAAAGTTTACCAAATCCTCCACCCAGTCGTCATCCTGCTGGGCGTGGGCAAGAACGAAGCTAAAGCTGCAAAAATTCCACAAAACTGTAAGCACAATGTAATCCCATTCTGGTGGTAGTCACTGGGCACTTTTACAAACCAGTTCAAGCTTCCTGGCTGTCTCGGTGTGATTTCTGAATTGACTGAGGTAGAGACGCACCGATCCACTTTTTCTTTTTTACTTCCGATCCCGATACCTACATCTGATATCTATCAGTACCGTTCCAATATCGTCATTATTATTGATTTTATATGAAGCTGTAATAATCTCCTTTCTACAGGCGAGTACGGTTTGTACAAATATATGCACGCATGTCCAAAAAGGCAACTTAAGGTAAGTATAAGGTCAGGAGAGCTCGGTCCCAGAGTTAGTGAGCAGAACCACCCCGCGCCACCGCCAGCTGTGGTGCGCATTAAGTTTAGTTTTAGAGATTAATATGTTTATAGATTTGTTTTATAGGTTTAGAGATTAATATCTTTTGCTTTTTGTTTGTGAAACAAGGTCAGAGGAAGCTGGTTCTGGTTCGGTGGATTGGACCCGGTGTTACACCATACTCTGTGACCTGCAACAGTGCAACACCGCCCCCTACGGTCATACATTGGTCACATAATATGACGTCACTACGGATACTCGACGTTACATTTTTAACCTGGATAGATGTCCTAGCAATCGATGTGTAGATTACTCGAGTACTCTGTTAATGCCCTAGTGAGGGGACGGTTTAATTTAATTTTTATTCTGGTTTATCTTTTTTTTTTTTTTTTTTTAAGTCCAACCAAGGACTGGGTTTGCAAATTAGCCTGTGGTTAGAAAACCTTCATACAAAACAAAGGTTGCTTTGTTTTTATCATGTAACGTTTATCGTGCTGTCCTCGATCAAATAAACTTGAAGGGAGGAAAAAAAAAATGCGTAAAAACAGGAAATCGTGTTAACAGGAAAAATCCAATGCTGAAAACAAATATGATGCAACTGTAAGAGCTTCAGATTGACTGTCAGTATTTATTAAATCCAGGACAGATAATCATAAGATCAATAACATGCATGCTAGGCTGCAATAGCCCCTTATCCACAGGGCCGGTTCTTGTTGGACCCTGTTGTGTCTGATTCTGGTGGGACTTCTTTTTTTCTGTCTCCACAGTGCCCATAGTTCCCGTTTAGTGGGTGGATTCTTAATATCAACACACTTTACCAGCTGGTGGCGCTAGTGCTACATTAAGCTCTTTTCTAAGCACCACTAACATGTATTAGAAGAAGAAGAGCCAGAAAACACACAACCAAAATGGATGACCTCCTTGATCTCCGCCCTCCACCAATGAATACGCCCCCTGACCAATCAGTGACCTACAGTGCGCTGATGTCACATCTAGACCCAACAAGAACCAGACCTGGGACCTCAGAGAAGTAGGTCCCAAAAATGGGGTGGGTTCCACCGCTGAAGGCACTGTGGATAAACCACGCAATCGGTCCGAACTAGTTACATAGGAGCCCCAAAAGGCCCTGTGGATAAGGGGCTTTTCAGGCCCAGGCCTCCCTTCCAAAAGAGATCTGTGATCTCCATGGGATTTGCCTGGTTAAAGGTTAATAATAAAGGGTCAACTTCTGTAACAACTGTCCTCCAAATAAAATACAAAAGGAGCAACAAATCAAGGTTTTCAAAATGCTTCGTTTTCTACAACTGATGGCCGTTGGTCATCAAGTACGATGACGTTCAGCAACTTCTCAGTAATCCCTTTGGCTTTCACGTTGTCCAGTGGAAGTTTACTTTGCTGTTGGAACGACTCCAGAAGTGATTTCTGCCGACTCCTTTCGTCTTTCTCCCACCTGGCTAATCGATCCCCGTGCTTTTTCAAATGTTTGATTAAGTTCCTTGTATTGTTGGTCACGATGGAGCTTCTTCCTCTTGGTACAGCGGCTCTGCAGACATTGCACGTTGCTGTGGCGTTTCTAGTGTAAAATATTTCCACACAGCGAACATGTTGCGATGAAAAGCTGGTTAGCCGTTAGCCACAGTGCTGCTCAGTCCTCATGTATTTATTCACGTTGTAGCTGGCTGCAAACTATGAAATGGATTTCCTGAATGTGAGGCGGGGCTTATTACTCTGGGTTCATGAGACACGCCTCCGTTAAAGAAATCCATTCCATAGTTTGAAGCCAACCTTCAGAGCAGCCGGCAGGGAACCACATGTGGAGATGTTTCATCAGACACAGACATGCATCATGGATCGGAAATCTCTGCAGGTTGGATCGGAAAATTCTGATACATAAATTATGCTGGTATCAGAACCCGATACCAATACTGGATCTTACATTCAACAGTCCTGGGGAGTTCACAACATGGTGTAGAGGGGTAATGATATACTGGTTTTACTGTATTCCCCGCCACAGAGAATTGTTCACATGGAAACGCATTTGGACATTTGTTAATTTTTTACACGCAGCGATCTTTATCGAGGGGTGGGTGGTTCCACTCGGGAGGGCAATGGCACATCTGAGTAATGTCCCACTGGTTTACATACAGGGCCAGGACTTGAACACTTTACTGCAGCCAGTCCGTACACGGTGCTTCCCCATAGTTGCATCAACTTTTTGGCTTCAGTCCCGTCTTTAAGTAGAATAAAATATTCTCATTAGTGCTCCACATCAGCACAGCTGGATTTCAAAGATTCAAGAATGTTTTGTCGTCATACCAGCTCACATTTGCATGTCTGTGGTACGAAATTCGGACTCAGGTCCCAGATCAAGAAGCTTTGCAATTAACAAATTAATAAATACAAAAGATTACAAATATATAATAAGATTATTATTATTTTTTTAAGTAAGATGAAGCTGAATTAAGTGCAGCTCGAGTTCAGCAGTCTGACAGCTGCCGGGAAGAAACTGTTTCTGAGTCTGGTGGTCTTGCTCTGAATGCTCCTCGGTCGCCTGCTTGAGGGGAGAGGCTTGAACAGACTGTGCAGGATGAGTGGAGTCCTTCATGAAGCGGAGCGCTCTCCCCCTGCATTGTGAAGTGTCCAAGGTGGTGGGAAGGCTGCTCCCCACAGTCTTCTGTGCAGCCTCCACCACCCTGCAGGAGACTGTGGGGAGCACAGTGTTTTGGTCCAAGCCTCTTTTGGTTCTGTGAAGCTGGCTTTATATCTGAAGACTATCTTCTCTGCTGGAAGTGGACAGCTTCGTTAATTATTTATGAACAGGCAGAGGCATTTTAAAACACTGTTTAATGAAAGTGCTTAGCTAGTGACCCCAGAATTCAACTTATTAAAGCAAGTGTTAGTTTTCTGTTTATTTGTCATTTGTCTTAATTTTCTTTTCAACAGGCCTTCTTTTAGTGACCAACCCCTTCACTCTGGTCCGTCTGCTGTCCTGCCACTGTTTCATGTTCTTACGGATGTACCACCTGATTCTAGATGATGCTGAGGAGCTTTTTGCTCTTGCTCCTGATCAGGTACGTGTTCGTTAGTTCTTACTCAAAAAGTCTCAAACTCATTTTAACAATCCAGACATCTCTGCTGTTGATGGATGCTATGTGTTGTCCTAGTTCTGGTATTCATATGCAGGAGGTAGTAGTTTCCACTTCAGAGTAAAAGGCTAGTGGCAGTTTATTTCAGTGTTGCCTCCACTATTATACAAGCAGGGCACACCGCCCTGTCAACCTAACCGAACACTCACATCAACAACTGGTGGCACTAAGCTAGCAGGGCGTGCTAGCTACAAAGCTAGTTAGCGCTCCACTACCCTCATGCCCCACCTCCCCCCACTCGAAAACTGTTGGTACAAAGTCTATATTTGTATGTGTAAATAAAATAATCCAGCCACCCTGATCATTTGACAAATCTACTTGTTCTCGTTTCAACTCCTACTCACTTGAATATTCTCATTCAATACCAGTTTTTCAAAACACTCATTCCATAAAATTACCAACATTTACCGTTTAAATCCCTCTGTGACAGGGACATCGGCGTACTTGTCATCGCGTAGTAATTAAGTTATCACACAATTACATTTTATATGGAGTACCTTGTAATTGTAACCAATTACACTGTCCTTACAGATGGAAACCATCTTGCAACATTTCCAGAAGGTGACTTGCAGTGAGGAGCAGACGAGTCCCAGTCCCAAGCAGCTTGTTGCAGTGGCGAAACGGTGGACCGATCACATGGAGAGCCTGATAGGCAGTCACATGCCTTCACCATACATTATCATAAGTGTTCCTGAAGAAGCTGCCCTCTACGGGAATGTACAACAGGTCAGTCAAATCGTACCTGATTTATGTATCTTGTCAAATATAAAATACAATCATTGTACCTGTCAACACAAAGACTCAGGTTATTAAACTGTACTGTGTCATTATCAGATGTATTTTCCAAAGACTTCAGATTTACTTGTTTATGGGGCGGCTGTGCCTGAGTGGTTAGATCAGTCATCCTCCAATACAAGAGTTGGGGGTTCGACTCCACCAGCAATGGCATGCCGAAGTGCTCCTGGACAAGACACTGAACCTTCAATGTGTGTCCCATCGGTGTATGAATGTGATAAAGCTCTGATTAATCTCTTTAGAATTATTTGTTCAATTAGCTTCGTACAGATCTAGTATAGAGCTGTATGAATGGGTGAATGAGGCACAGATTGTTGTAAAGCTCTTTGAGTATCTTGATAAGATAGAAAGGTGCTATACAAGTACAGTCCATTTACCATATACTTAACATTAATATTTGAAAGCATTGAAAATTAAGAAATTACTAACTTTTCTAGTAACATAGTAAAGGTCCAGTTTTCAAAACCAATGCATCAACATAATGTCCACAAAGGCTGAACGCAGGTTGTACTGATGCCTGATTCTGTTCCTGTGCAGGCCGTCCTCATGACAGTTGAAAGCAGCAAGGTGTCATCACTGTTGGGTGTGTTGGATTTCAGGCCTGCTGTTGGTCAGAAGTCGTTGATTGTAACGAACTCCGCTCAAGAGGTGGAAGACGTGTTCAAGGTGATACAGCTCCATCTATCAATTGTTTTCTTAGGAAATGTAAGAAGCTGTTTCTAGAGAAGTCCATTTCCTGTTTTACATTCATCAGTCAACTTCTTCTTTCGGCTTTTCCCTCTTCAGGGTCTCCACAGCGAGTCATCCTCCATCTCACTCTGTCCTCTGTCCTCACTCCAACCACCTCCATGTCCTCTCTAACTGCATCCATATGTCTCCTCTTTGTCTTTTTCCTGGCAGCTGCATTTCTAACATCCTTCTACCAATATACCCACTGTCCCTCCTCTGGACATGTCCAAACCACTGTCCCTCCTCTGGACATGTCCAAACCATCTCAGTGTGTCCTCTCTAACTTTAGCTCCCAGTTGTTCAACCTGTGCTGTACCTGATGATCTCATTCCTGAGCTTATCCATCCTTGACACTCATAAGGAGAATCTCAACATCTTCATTTCTGCCACTTCCATCATTGCCTCCCATGTGTGTCCCATCAGTGTATGAATGTGATCTAAAGCTCCGATTATTCTTTGTATAGTGATAGTAGAGTGCTGTATGAACGGATGAACGAGGACACAGATTGTGTTGTAAAGAGCTTTGAGTATCTTAATAAAATAGAAAGGCGCTATACAAATACAGTCCATTTACATTTACCTCTTCAAGTTCTCTTCCACCTGTTCCTTGCTCTCACCACAGATCACAATGTCATCTGCAAACATCATAGTCCATCACCAGAGCAAACAAGAAGGTGCTCAGAGCCGATCCTTGATGCACTCCCACCTCCACCATGAAGCTGTCACTCCTACAGCACATATCACCACTGTCCTGCTGTCCTCATACATGTCCTGCTGTCCTCATACATGTCCTGCTGTCTTCATACATGTCCTACCAGTCTAACATACTTCTCTACCACTCCAGATTTCTTCATACAGCACCACACCTCCTCCCTCAGCACTCTGTCAGATGCTTTTTCTAAATCCACAAAGACACAATGGAGTTCTTTCTGACCCTCTCTGTTCTTCTCCATCAACATCCTCAAAGCAAAGATGGATCTGTGGTGCTCTTTCTTGGCATGAAACCATCCTGCTGATCACAGTCACCTCTCGTCCAAGTCTTGCTTCCACAACTCTCTCCCAGTTCTTCATCGTGTGGCTCATCAACTTAATTCCCCTGTAGTTGCTACAACTCTAAACATCATCCTTGTTCTTAAAAATGGCCACCAGCACACTTCTTCTCCGTTCCTCAGGCATTTTCTCACCCTCAAATATGCCTTTGAATATTTGAGTCAAAACCTCGCTGCCATCATGTTTTTCATTCTTATCAGAACTTTCAGAATTTTGCCCTCACTAATCTTTCCCACTTCCTGGTCCACAGTTTCTATGACCTCTTTTCATTTTCTTCATTTTCTCCTCAGTATACTCCATCTATCTTTCTGTCAGTCTTCTTACTTGTTAGAACATTATCATTTCTACCTTTAACAGTCCTGACCGGTTGCACATTCTTTCCAGCCTGATCCCTCTGTTTTGCCAATTGGTTCAAGTCCTTCTTGCCATCACAGGGACACATGGAGACAAATGAGACAACCATTCACTCTCTCACTCTCACCTAGGGACAGTTTAGAGTTACCAATCAGCCTAACATGCATGTTATTGGTCTGTGGGAAGAAACTGGAGCACCCGGAGAAAACACACGCATACACGGAGAGAACATGCAAACTCCACCCAGAAAGGTCCCCGGTCGGATTTCGATCTGGTGACCATCTCGATGAGCGGTAGCAGCTCTACCAACTGAGCCACCTCGTTGCCCACAATGAAATGTTTTCAATTTTTTTCTATTTATTTTTAAGATTATGCTAAAATATGTTTCCCTATGTTTAAAATCCCTAAGGGCCAAGCTTTACTATTTGAAATCCCAGATTAAATAATTCTTTACATGCATGTCTGACAAGTGACATTAAATTCAGATTGTGATTTTCATTTTAGCCTGTAACTTGTGGTGACCTCAGAACCAAGAAGAAAGACAAATAAAAGGGCAACATTTGTGTAAAAGATCCGTTTTTTATTAGAACCAGCAGTATGAAGCCAGAAGAAAAAACAAAACGTCTGACCCAGCGCTGGTTCTGCTCAGTAATGGGAGCAGAATGTACTCGCTAACTGTAACAAGATACTACAGGAAATGTTGTGGCTGGTTTTATAGTTACAATTTCTTGTCTTTATAGTTGATTGTTTTTTTTTGTTGTTGATCCAGTCAACCCTTGGAGCTGGTTTTGTTGCCGTGTCTGACAGTGTGACACCCACTCCTCTTTATAAGAGTTCATAAAATGTAAAGAAGTGTGGTTAAAGAAATGGGATCAGGTCCTCAAAGTTTTTTGTAATGGCATCTTTTATTGAACTTTCCATTCATCCATTCAATTTGCTTTTCTGTATATGACTTTTCTATAATTATCAATTTCATAAGCATAGTTAAATGTTTATTTTAATTTTTTCCAATTGAGTACTGATTGAACTGACCTGTTTTTCAGGCTGTTGGCAACAAATCAGCCTTCTGTCTGAAGACCCATGAAGGACTGGCTCACCAGTTTGATCTTGTGATGGAGCAGTGGAGGAAGGACATTGGTCCTGGCACTCATGTTATTCTGGGTACAGTTCAAATAAACGTCTGAACTTGAGCACAAGAACCAATCTGACTGAAATTGATCTGTTGTCACTTGTGTTTTTTCTGTGACTTGCAGTTACCACCAATGACTGTCTGAAGTGTCTTGGTATCAAAGATGCAACTTGTCTCATCCACTACGGATTTCCTACCTCTCCCAAAGTGTTTGGCAACAGACTCTTCTGCATGAGTGAAAACTTCAGAAATATGTGTGAAGCAGTAAGTATTGACTTCATCTTCTTTCCTTTACAAAGAGAATCTGTTCATCTAATTATTTAACTATCTGGATAGGCAGTGGCCGTACTTTGTTCAGATGATCAGAGTATTCATGCTG